AATCAGAAATCCAATATGGCCACCACAGCCGCTATTTTGTAAATACCTATTCTAAACTTAAAAACAATTTCTAATAGGCCGATCTTATTTAAAATCGGTCTAGGAATGATCAGCTCATGGTCCTGACAAAGTTAAGTTAACATTATACTTAACTATTTTTTACTCAAATTGGTACATATTTCAACAACAAAAATAAATACTGTAGGACTCAGGTGACCGTTAAGGCCCATGGGCCTCTTGTTAGTCTTAAATCTGTATTCTAGATATTGAATAAGGTGGTTTTATTGTTTTTAGCTCACCTGCCCGAAGGGCAAGTGAGCTTATGCCATGGTGCGGCGTCTGTCCGTCTGTCCGTCCTCGTCCGTCAACTTTTCGTTTAAACAACTTCTTCTGAAGAACGGACAGGCCTAGAGTCATGATATTTGACTGAAAGCTTTGTTGGTAGAAGTCCGACAATGACCTTGACCTACTTTCAAGGTCACAGGGGTCAAATATGTCAAAAACTTCAAACGACTTCTGAAGAACTCAAAAGTATAGAATCTTCATATTTGACTGATGGATTCCTGGGATCGAGCCCAACAAAGTTTGATAATTATGAAAATGACCTTGACCTACTTTTAAGGTCACATGAGGCAGATATTTCAAACACTTAAAATGACTTCTTCTGAAGAACTAAAAGGTATATAATCTTTATATTTGGCTGGTGGCTTCCTGGGATAGAGCCCGACAAAGTTTGAGGAGGAAAATGACCTTGACCTACTTTCAAGGTCACAGGAGTCAAATATGTCAAATGCTTCAAACGACTTCTTCTGAAGAACTAAACGGTACAGCATCTTTATATTTGATTGATGGCTTCCTGAGATAGAGCCAGGCAAAGACTGAGAATGAAAATGATGTTGACCTTCTTTCAAGGTCACAGGGGTCAAATGTGTCAAACACTTCAAACGACTTCTTCTAAAGAACTGAAAGGTATAGAATCTTTATATTTAGCTGGTGGCTTCCTGTCATAGAGCCCGATAAAGTTTGAAAACGAAAATGACCTTGACCTACTTTCAAGGTCACAGGAGTCAGACATGTCTAATGATTAAAACGATTTCTTCTGAAGAACTGAAAGTAATAGAACCTAGATATTTGGCTTGTAGCTTTCTGGGAAAGAGCCCAACAAAGTTTGATAATTATGAAAATAACCTTGACCTACTTTTAAGGTCACATGAGGCAGATATGTCAAACACTTAAAATGACTTCTTCTGAAGAACTGGAAGGTATAGAACCTTAATATTTGGCTGGTTATTTCCTGGGAAAGAGCCAAACAAAGTTTGCAAATGAAAATGACCTTGACCTACTTTCAAGGTCACACGGGTCAAACTTAAGTTCTGGAAAATTAAAATTCATAAAATTATAATATTTGGCTGGTGACTTCCTGGGATAGAGCTCACCAAAGTTTGCTAATGAAAATAACTTCAACCTACTTTCAAGGTCATAGGAGTCAGATATGTCTAATGATTAAAACGACTTCTTTTGAAGACCTGAAAGTTATAGAACCTAAATATTTGGCTTGTAGCTTTCTGGGAAAGAGCCCAACAAAGTTTGAGAATGAAAATGACCTTGACCTACTTTTAAGGTCACATGAGGCAGATATGTCAAACACTTAAAATGACTTCTTCTGAAGAACTTGAAGGTATAGAACCTTAATATTTGGCTGGTAATTTCCTGGGAAGGAGCCCAACAAAGTTTGTGAATGAAAAAGACCTTGACCTACTTTTAAGGTCACATGAGGCAGATATGTCTAACGCTTAGAACAACTTATTCTGAAGAACTGGAAGGTATAGAACCTTAATATTTGGCTGGTTATTTCCTGGGAAAGAGCCAAACAAAGTTTGCGAATGAAAATGACCTTGACTTACTTTCAAGGTCACAGCGTTCAAATATGTCAAACGGTTCAAACAACTTCTTCTGAAGGATTAAAAGGAATAAAATTTAATATTTAATGAGAACATTTTGCTATGACTGCTTTAACATTCAGGTGAGCGATACAGGCCCTCTTGGGCCTCTTGTTTGTCACTTTGAATAATATTTCTGTTCATGTTAAAAACAAAATCAACTCTCTGTATAAATATATCAGGTGACTGTTAAGGCCCATGGGCCTCTTGTTTAAGTTCTTAATAAGGTGCTTATTATAAGAACATAAAAGGCTAGCTAGCAAGTAATTGGGCATATTCTAAATTTTCATCATACTCTGTTTTAGGAGATTACTGTTGCAGTGTTTCATAATCTGACTGAAAAGTTTAATGACGTGGAAAAGACTGATATCTTGGAGACGAGGTCTACATCGACGTAAGTCTCCATCCAGAACTTTTCTGTAGTTTCATTAGTCTTTTATTAAAATATCCAAAAGTGGCACTGCACTCTTAAGTAATGATATCACCAGTCTTCACATCAATTCCTTGTTATTTATGGTAGGGTCTTTGTAGATCTTAGTGATTTCCATGGTATTACAGTTGTAGGTGTGATGTGAATGCTGACTTCCTGCTTTGTTTGATACATTGACATTAAGTTATATTTATGAGAATATCAACTTATTGACAGTTTTACAATGGTGTTTGATAACAGGAATTTACTCACCTCTATGGGGAGTGTCCTAACACTTATACAGGACAGAGGAACAGACCTGAAGGAAATTAACACAACCAATACTGGGTCGATCACAGAGGCGGCAAAGGATGAAAAGTTGGAAAAGGTCAGTAGTACTGCTAGAATTCTTTCTCTTACTTGCTTCATATTTACTGCTGGTCACCAACTTTGGATAATACCAGAAAAAGTCTTAAAAACTTCTCATATGTGAGCTTATGCCGTACTGCGGCGTCCGGAGTCTGTCTGGTGTCCGTCCGTCAATTTTTTCTTTTGAATGACTTCTTCTAAAGAACTGGAGGGCCTAGGGTCATGATATTTGGCCAGTAGGTACCTGGGATCGAGTTCTATAAAGTTTCCTCATTAAAATGACCTTGACCTACTTTCAAGGTCACTGGGGTCAAATATGTTAAAAAATCTAACAACAATATCCTAAGAACCATTTGGATTAGAGTCATGATACTTGGATATAATATGTAGACCAGCAGTGCAAATCTTTTTCTTAATTACAGTAATGAGGTCAAAGGTCAACTTTAAGTGCAAATCGGGGGTCAAAGGTCAACATGGGTTTAAGGCTTTAACAATCTTCTTCTCAAGTTCCATAAGCCCCAGGGTCATGATATTTGGCCAGTAGGTACCTCGGATGAAGAGCTATAAACTTTCCTCACTTGACCTACTCTCAAGTTCACACGGGTCAAATATGTGAAACACTTCAAGCAACACTATCCTAAGAACCATTTGGACTAGTCATGATACTTGGGTATGTTATGTAGACCAGCTGTGTGAATTGTTTTCTTTATTACAGTAATGACGTCAAAGGTCAACTTTAAGTGCAAGTCAATGTGGGTTAAAAGCTTCAAAATTCAAATTTCAAATTTCAAACAACAATATCTTCAGAACCATTTAAGAGATGTTAATATGTCTTGTGCTCTAGTTACCAAATTTAGTCTTAAGTTATCTATATGTCAGTTTCATGTAACAAAAGAAACAGGTGAGCGATACAGGCCCTCTGGGCGTCTTGTTTTGTTTATTCTTCCAAACCCTTTGAATTAAATTTTGAGGAAATTTTAAGCCAAAAGCTTATATGCAATAGTGCAGCATCCGTCGTCTGTCAACTTATTCCTTTATAGCCTTAGAATCTGGACAACTTCGATTAAAATTTCTACCAAATATACTATGGTGCATCCTTGAGACTACAGAATCAAACTTTGTGTAATGTTGAGATGTGGTCCCCCCTTCAGGACCCAGTCGGGGGGGGGGGGGGGGGGGGGAAATAGACAAATTTCAAACTTTAAAAAACTAATTTTCTTTGATGGACTACACAAATCATTACCATAGGTGGTCTGAAATATATGGGAGGGCAAGGAGATCATATTTTGTACAAATGAAGTCTGTATGACCCCTGGGGCTCACTATAAAGATGGTGCTGGCCATAGGGGACAAGGAATTTTGAGTATAAAGATGTAACACAAGGCAAAGTATTGCAAGGCAATCCATAGTCCTCCACCGCCCACCGGTAATGATTTCTATATTTAACAAACAGTACATTTATGTCAGGAAGCATAGGTCACAGTAAGGTTATAGTGACCTACTTCTTGCACGCCACCATCCCTAGATGTCCTTGTACACCAAATCTGGTTATTCCAGGTGAAATAGTATAGAATATATGTACCAGACAAACTTCTCAGACAGGAGGACGGACAGAAGGATAGACGGAAGGATAGACAGACTGAGTGCAAA